TTCCGATCAGTTTGGATAACTGAATTTGGGTTTAAAAAAAGTGGATGCAAAATCTATTGATTTTTAACAAATCCAGGTAAACATCATGTGCATCAGACGTGGATGCGCAGATTTTTGTCACACTCTTCTGTAGCAACATGTCACGTAGTAAACGACCCCAAGGATCTCAGCAGCGTAGCAACATGTCACGTAGTAAACGATCCCAGAGATCTCAGCAGCGTAACAACCTGTAACGTAGTAAGAAAGTCCCAAGGATCTTCAACAAGGGCATCTCAACAGCGTCTTAAGCAACATGTAACGTAGTAAACGATCCCAGAGATCTTAGCAGCGTAGCAACATGTCACGTAGTAAACGATCCCAGAGATCTCAGCAGCGTAGCAACATGTCACGTAGTAAACGATCCCAAGGATCTCAGCGTAGCAACATGTCACGTAGTAAACGATCCCAGAGATCTCAGCAGCGTAGCAACCTGTAACGTAGTAAGAAAGTCCCAAGGATCTCAGCAGCGTAGCAACATGTAACGTAGTAAACGATCCCAGAGATCTTAGCAGCGTAGCAACATGTCACGTAGTAAACGATCCCAGAGATCTTAGCAACATCGCAATATATCCTGTACAAAATATGAGGAACGTTAACATGCCCCCCCACCTCACCCCACCCCAACCCCAACCCACACTAACATGGCAATATATCCTGTACGAAGTACGAGGAACGTTAACATGCCCCCCCACCCCACCCCACCCCGACCCCAACCCACACTAGAGATCTCAGCAGCGTAGCAACACGTAACGTAGTAAAAGATCCCAGAGATCTTAGCAACATGGCAATATATCATGTACGAAGTACAAGGAACGTTAACATGCCCCCCCATCCCACCCCACCCCAACCCCAAGACAAAGAGCAATACTCAAAAAAGAAGCAAAACGCACGTACGGTTTTCCTGCCGTAGGCAAAAACATGGCAGTTCAACTTCAACAGTTTCCATATGGGTTACCCTAGGCTAAACAAAAAAAGAAAGATGTGGATTTCCAAAAACCATTGTTAGATCATTTATTTTCGGAAGCAAACCATGGGTTTCCACATCGATGTTAGTTTGCCCTAGCAATGAACAGACATGGACAGACAACAAGGATCCAGATCGTTTTCCTAAAAACAAGATGATTGACAATTATATGGAATCTTTGCGTTTTTTTTTGCTTTTGGTCAAAGCTGAATCATCTTCAACACAATTGTGTTTGTCTAAGAAAATAACGTATCCAATTCCAGTGATTTATCATTTTTTTCTGTCCGAAAACAAGGTTTCATTTGGAGGGCATATCGGACAAACCCAATTCCCCACGGCTGCACACATCTTCCACCCACCATCTAGATGATTCCACCGTGCCTTCTGGAAGGTCATGAGTTGGTCTTGCAGCTGAAAGAGCGCCTCGCGGAAAGCCGTGCTGCTGCTGTCTGCTGATTGATGTTGCAACTGCTGTTTTTTTTGACACGTTTTTGACTACAGGGGTGAAAACGAACTGTGAACTGGTTGTTTGATGGAACCCATAGGATCCATGGTGCTGCTATATATGGTAACATGGATCCCATCAATATACCCCCTTTATGTTAGCATTCATATACCAGCACCATGGATCCGTCATGGGGAAGTTGTTGTGAATGTTGAACATCTACCATCTGGTTATTTAACAGTTTGCCATGGAAGCCATGGCCCATAGAAATAGATGGTTTACCTATTAATAGCATGGTGGGTGCTTGTTTGACTTTTTGTTGATTGCCCAGTTTGGTTCAAAAAATTGTTGTGCGACGTTTCATACTTTTTTAACAACATCTATCCATTAAGGGTGTCATATTCCGAATACTGATCCATGCGTGTACTTAAATTTTGGTTTGGTTGAATTTGAATTCCCAGGAATGGCATCAAATTGCTTGTTGCATGCTTCCACTCCTGCGAATCTCACAACATCCTGCGAGATCGGGGAATGTTTGACTCCCAGATTCATACCAGCTAGGACCAACTACTGACATTGATAAAACCAACAGCAGTATTGTTCCGAAACCCTGTGATAAGTGGAGAAGCCAATGAGCCAATAGACATTCCCTAGAACCTGTTTATGCTTTCCCCACGAAATTGAACCAAGAAATGGTGCATCGTTGGTGTCTCCAGTTTTGAAGATCGCAAGTGGCTTCGATTTTGCCTGGTGGTTTCACATGTATAGTTTCCATCCTAACATTATGATCCAAATGGTTTCTTAATGCGGGATATATTAATGGATTAGTGGGGATATGTGGGGATATAATTCGATAACTATTTGGAGAATTCTGGATACATTATAAGACTGGTTGGTGGTTTGGAACATGGCTTTTATGACTTTCCATATATTGGGAATTTCATCATCCCAACTGACTTTCATATTTTTCAGAGGGGTTGAAACCACTAACCAGTTTCAGAATTTTGGTAATTCAGCCACCCCATGCCCAGATCCAACACCAGGTATGGCCACCACATAAGACCAGTCACTGGAATGGTCCGACTCCAACTTTCTTCACTTGTCGTTGCGCCGTTGCCTGGTTCAAGTTGCTTGCACTTGATTTCTTTAGCAGTAGACATGAATTAAAGCCGATGTGACCGAATGAGACCGGATATGAAAATGCCTGCAACCTACACAGCAGAACCATCACTGGAAAAACCCCAAGCCAGGTCGTTAGCTGTTGCGCAGGGTACACCGACACCAGCCCACAGACTAGGGTTGTATTTGCTTAATCATCAGTGGGTTTGTTACTATCCCAGGTCCATCGATATGTTCCACGAAATTCGAATAAGCAATAGTCAACTCCCAATCATCCACACTTCCAGTTGACAATAAACAATCTGACACATTCTGCGCCCCTCGGCCTGTGAGACTGATGATGTCTCCCAATGATAGCGCAGGAAGGGACTTGGGGGCTTGGAGGACATAACATGAAAAACCATGCCCTATGGGTTTTGGGGAAAAGTTTACCCTCTGGTAAACATACAAAAAACTATGGAAAATCACAATTTTTAATGGATAAATCCACTATTTCTATGGCTATTTTCAATAGCTATGTTAAAATACCAGAGGGTAAACCATCTTTGAACTTTGAACCATATCCTTTCCCATTGTGTGCTCGACGAATAGAATGGTGACCACACATTGAATAAACTATGCGTGGATGATGATATCGTGCAGTTTAAGCTAAACCGACCCCTCCTTCCACAACTAAGAATTAAATAACTGGTTTACCACTTGTGACCATATGTTGTCTTCATACCAATATGCAAACGATCCCAACAGTAAGTACACTCAATGTGTAGTAGCTGGGGCCCAATTCAACCCGTCGCTAAGATGTATTGACCAGAGCCCGTTACGTTGCTAGACCTTTGGCCACCTTCGTCTTTCCCAAGCATGTTTTTGTTGAAGGGAAGATTCACGGGAAGCCTTCGTACTGTCATTATAAGATGGTAGTGTCCCAGTCTTGGAACCTCTAATTTTGACAGACAATCATGTCCTTTCCCACCAGCACTGGAATACGTGAGTTAAAAAAACAATCTTTTCAAAGATGATGTTCTTCTTGGAACTCGTCATTTCGATCACCCAGACAAAGCAGACATAGCGTCCGATTTTTTCCGTTTAGAGATATTTGGATTTTCACATTGGATATCTTGTCGCTCATAACCCTATCCCCCGTTCATGTTCAACAGCCCCATTTGAAAAGGTCCCAGCCCATATCTATGGTGTAATTGCCAATCCTAAACCATGGCCTATGAAGGAGGTGTTTGATATGAACCGGGGATGGGATTAACATATAACCTAGTCATCAAAAAAGCAACTTGATAGTAATGACCCAACTAAAACAATAATCTGGTTGGTGGTTTGGAACGTGAATTTTATGACTTTCCATATATTGGGAAGAATCATCCCAACTGACGAACTCATATTTTTCAGAGGGGTTGAAACCACCAACCAGAATAATAAACAACCCATTTAGGAATGGTAAAAAACAATCTACAGTAGGTATGGTGATGACTGGGGGATGATTTATGATTCTTTTACCATGGTTTTTACCTACATGAATGTCCCAACTGTTGGTACCCTCTGGTTATGACTAACATAGCTATTGAAATTTGCCATAGAAATAGTGAGTTTTCCCATTAAACATGGTGATTTTCCATAGTTTTTTGTATGTTTACCAGAGGGTATCTGTTGGTTCGATCCCACTTTTTCCAGGATTCCAAGCCTCCCCGGGAGCTCGCACGGCTGCCGTTGTCGGCTTCGCATGCAAAGCCGCCTGCACGGGGTCGCGAAGGGCAGCCCTTGAGGTGCCAATTGGGGCGAACTTTGAAACCATGGGATTTAGGGAGGTCTCCCCGAGATTTTCAGACAGCCATGTTACCCTCTGGTAAACTAACATAATAACTATGGAAAGATCCACCATTTTCAATGGGAAAACTCACTATTTCTATGGCTATTTTCAATAGCTATGTTAAATTACCAGAGGGTAGTTTCTTTCCCCTTTGGCAATTGAAGAGTTTGATCTCCATTTCTAGATGGCCCATTTACAGATGATTTAGCTGTTAGAAATGGTGATTTTCCTATGTTATGTTTTCCAGAGTGATAATGACAGCATCCATTTCATTCTGACTTGACCCAATTCCGCGTGTGCAAAAGAGCCAAGTTTATGAGTCTATAGTTGTCAAAGCACATCTTCAAAGTCATAGGGGTACCCCCATTTCTCATCCAGCTATTAGTAGACTTTCCCATGAAATTGTGTTAAACCATCCAGCGATAAAGGGGTACCCCATTTTAGGAAACCTTAATGTAGGAAAAAGTCAGAAGCAGATGCCAAATCACTGCTTGCCCTCTGGTAAACATACAAAAAACTATGAAAAATCACAATTTTTAATGGGTAAATCCACTATTTCGACTGGGCCATGGCTTAGTTCCCATCAAAAGGGCACCGCCGGAGGTCGACGAAAGCAACCAACTATTCCGGACAGAGAGATGAGGTCCGACAGCAAAAAAATCTTGGCATGGTACTTGGTGGCTCATCCCACGGCTCGTAAGTGGGTTATAACCCCAGTTATAAGTGGATTAACCCTACTTATCCCATTTATAACTGGGGTTATAACCCACTTACTAAGTGGGATGAGCCACCAAGTAAAGGTGGTCAAACATCAGGAGCAACCAATTGAAGTCATGTTTAAAGAGAGGACATAAATGACGCCTGTCAAACTTGGTTGAAGGGGATCCCATATCTGTACAGGAACTTGTGATTTGAAAGCCACTATGAAAAAAAAAGTGTTTTTTTTTTGTTTTACGATGTCGTATGGTTTCATAATATGTGTTTCTCATGTTTAACTGAAATGATGATAAAAGTCCATGATGAATGATGGGTGAACCAAGTAATTGACTGGGATATATATATATATTTATACAATTAGATTCATATGATTATATTTATATAATTATATATATATATATTATTAATAAAAAATATATATGTATATATATAAATTATAAAAATATATAAATTATATATACATATATAAGATATAACCCGCATTGTTGGTTATATTCCCCTTAAATCCCCATGTTTTGTGTGCTCTTTCAGCCCTCCTCGACGAGGCAGATGTTCTGGCCACAGGCTTCACTGTGCGCGAGATAACGCCGCAGGTGACCAGGGAAGTCATGAAGATATGGGGCTAAGGACTACCCTCTGGTAAACATACAAAAAACTATTGAAAATGGCCATAGAAATAGTGGATTTTCCGATGAAAAATCGTGATTTTCCATAGCTATGTTAGTTTACCAGAGGGTAAGGATGGTACAGTTATGGCCATTTATCAGTTATAAGAAAACCATAGAAAACCCCATTTATAGAATGTATAATCACATAGAAATAGCCAGTTATAATTGGTAAATGGCCATAACTGTAGGGCTAAGGACTAAGGAGGCACAAAATTAAAGGACCGGATAACCCCACATGTCAACTTCTTCCAACAAGCAGCAAAATAAAGGTAAAGATAGCATGGGGAAAGCAGGAAAGGGAAAAGAGATGGTGAAGGATGCCATAAGTGCCACGCCTGCCACGCAAAGTAACAATCCATGTCATCAAGTGCCACGCCTGCCACACAAAGCGAAGGTAGATGTCACAAAGTGCCACGCCTGCCACACAAAGTGAAGGCAGATGTCACGAAGTGCCACGCCTGCCACGCAAAACGCCGCGGCGTCACGGCGCCATGGCTGACCAAGCGCGCCACCAGAGCCAACCCAGTGCCATAAGTGCCACGCCTGCCACGCAAAGTAACAATCCATGTCATCAAGTGCCACGCCTGCCACACAAAGCGAAGGTGGATCTCACAAAGTGCCACGCCTGCCACACAAAGTGAAGGCAGATGTCACGAAGTGCCACGCCTGCCACGCAAAAGGCCGCGGCGTCACGGCGCCATGGCTGACCAAGCGCGCCACCAGACCCAACCCAGTGCCATAAGTGCCACGCCTGCCACGCAAAGTAGCAATCCATGTCATCAAGTCCCACGCCTGCCACACAAAGCGAAGGTAGATGTCACGAAGTGCCACGCCTGCCACGCGGCGTCACGGCGCCATGGCTGACCAAGCCGGCCACCAGAGCCAACCCAGTGCCATAAGTGCCACGCCTGCCACGCAAAGTAACAATCCATGTCATCAAGTCCCATGCCTGCCACACAAAGTGAAGGTAGATGTGACGAAGTGCCACGCCTGCCACACAAAGTGAAAGCAGATGTCGTAAAGTGCCACGCCTGCCACGCAAAACGCCGCGGCGTCACGGCGCCATGGCTGACCAAGCCGGCCACCAGAGCCAACCCAGTGCCATAAGTGCCACGCCTGCCACGCAAAGTAACAATCGATGTCGTCAAGTGCCACGCCTGCCACACAAAGTGAAGGTAGATGTCACAAAGTGCCACGCCTGCCACGCAAAACGCCGCGGCGTCACGGCGCCATGGCTGACCAAGCGCGCAGAGCCAACCCAGTGCCATAAGTGCCACGCCTGCCACGCAAAGTAACAATCCATGTCACCAAGTGCCACGCCTGCCACAAAAAGTGAAGGCAGATGTCACGAAGTGCCACCCCTGCCACACAAAGTGAAGGTAGATGTCACAAAGTGCCACGCCTGCCACACAAAGTGAAAGCAGATTTCGTAAAGTGTCACGCTTGCCACGCAAAACGCCGCGGCGTCACGGCGCCATGGCTGACCAAGCGCGCCACCAGAGCCAACCCAGTGCCATAAGTGCCACGCCTGCCACGCAAAGTAACAATCGATGTCGTCAAGTGCCACGCCTGCCACGCAAAGTGAAGGTGGATGTCACGTTGTGTGATGACAAGTGGTGTGATGACAAGTTGTGTGTGAGCAAGTGGTGTGATGACAAGTGGTCTGATGACAAGTGGTGTGAGAGAAGTGGTTTGATGACATGTGGTGTGATGACATGCTGTGTGCGAGCAAGTGGTGTGATGAGAAGTGGTCTGATGACAAGTTGTTTGATGACAAGTTGTGTGTGGACAAGTTGTGTGTGGACAAGTAGTGGTGTGACAAGTGGTCTGATGAGAAGTGGTGTGTGGACAAGTTGTGTGTGAGCAAGTTGTGTGTGAGCAAGTGGTGTGTGGACAAGTTGTGTGTGAGCACAAGTTGTGTGTGACGGGAGGAGGCGACGGGAGCGGGAGGAGGAGGAGGCGGCGGACGGGATGCAGAACCAAAAACAAGAACCCCACACAAAGATGTGGGGAAAAATGGATTCAACGGTGATTGAGTTGGTGTTTTTGATGATTTAATGGTCATTTAATGGTGCTTCATGGCGATTTGATGATGATCTAATGGTGATTTCATGGGGAGTTAATGCGATTGAGTGGGATTTAATGGGGATTGATTGCTATTCAAGCATAGCAGCATAGCCCTGCAAAGTTTCAGCTGATGGGCAAAAGAATCTCTATGTTTTACATACACAGCAGCCCCAGAAAAGATTGACAGTCCAACATCCTACAAATATGGTAAAATCGAAGCGTTTCTATGTTTTTTGGGGTTAGTATATACCCTAAATTTCACATGAATCCTCCAATGCATCAAAATGGTAAAACAATCTTCCAGATGTAAAATTCAGGGTTTGTAGCTTCTGGATCTGCAGTTGCGTGCCTTAAACAACAATGCGGACAGGAGACATTATAAATCGAAAAACATGCCAGATGTCAGCAGCAGTTTTTTTCAGGGATGGAACCAAGCGAGGATTGTTACATGGTCCAATTTCATCATCATGGGATGTTCACTAGTATCATAGAACATTAAAAAAAAAACATACAGAGGTGTACAGGGAAAAAATCATTCGGGACGTCACGTGATCTTACTGGTTATGAATAAAGGACTCCGCCATGTCATGTGTAGTTTGCTTGCAATTGTCAGGTGCAGAGGTATAATATGTGCGTCATGGAAGATATATAAGATATAAGATGACGTCACCATACTCCCCCCAATCGATGTGCTTGCAATTGATTTGCTTGCTTGAAATATTGAATTTGAAGTTTTATATTCATTGCATGTGGGTTTAAACATACGTATTTAAACACCATCAACTCCATTCCTGTTGTCTTTGATAAGTGACATGTACACACATATTTTATATTTTATCTAAATAAATCATGTGTTTGTTATTTTATATATTTACTGTATAATTATATATATACACTATATACTCATATATAATATTATATATACAGTACATAAAGTTAGTCTATATATATATATATACACTGTATATATATAATAATATGCTATGTATATAATACATATTTACATGTACGGATGAATCCCGGCCACCACTCCTTGGTGACAAAGGTTTTGCCACCACTCCTTAGGCAGCGAAGCTGTGGCTCCTACTGCAGCTGGTTGGTCTGGAAACCCGGCGGCGAGGTGGCGACTTCCTATAGGACTAATCCCTCGGTGGTGCCCTGAAGATAGCGAACTTGGCTTAGTCTAACTAGGACTTATGGATACTTATGGTAGATATATTGAACTAGTTAAAGGGTTGCACACCAACTTATAACTGGAGGGGCACCACATTGTCTTGATTCTGGCATTGCCGATTCCTGGTTAGAGGACATTTGCCGGCCATCGGGGCTGATTGTCATTTCATGAGACTAAGTGGGAAACCAATTGAGGAGTATCATGTCTGTTAAAAGCCGCCTTGTTGCAAGTATATCTATCTATATCTAAGTTTTGAGATATGTTCAATACGAGCATTGTCTTCAAGCTATTGGTCATTCGTCAACAACCACGGTGAAAACCTCACATGTCTCAGAGAAGATGGGGACAAAAGGGTGGGACATGCTCGAATTCATCCAATTCATCCCAGTGGCATTTCGGCATTTCATATCACCTCAAGTGTTCCACATGATGATGTCTATCCCAATCCGGATCCATGGTGCTGGTATATATGCGTTTACATAAAGGGGGTATATTGATGGGATCCATGTTACCATATATATATATATAGCATACATGGATCCTATGGGATTCATGATGATGTCTATTGATAATATTGGACATGTGGTAATATTCATATTCATATTCACATCATTCATTTGGTAATATTGGACATTTTGCATCATCATCGTTCGATCGCGGGGGCCCAAATGCAAGACACTCGGCGACTTGGCGAATTTTTCATAATTGTTCATGTCCTGCAGGATGGGGCGCCCTAGTGATGTTTGTTGGTTTATAAACCATGAAATAGCCACCATTAACTTCTACGGTAATTCGTTATATCTACCATGAACCATCCATAGTTCATTCATCCACTTCTTTTCGGCGACGGCGGCAACGGGGGCCCCATCATCTGTGGCAAGTCAGCTTCGGGATGAACACAAGGTAAAATTCAGCCACACATGGGATTAATTCTCCAGCGTCAAATTAGTTGATTATTAGATATAATTAATTAATGGAGTATCCAAACTAAGTGGGTAATGATCATATATAACATTAATTATATAACTGTAACCAAATATAGCTGGGTTACACTTTTTTGAAAATCCACTTACCCTCTGGTTATGTCAAAATAGCTATTGACAATGGCCATAGAAATCATTGATTTACCTATGAAAAATTGGGATTTTACCAGAGGTTCAGTTTCAGTGGGATTGACATTTCCTATTACCTACCGCAAAGCATTCGATGCAGCGCTGCAGGTTTGCTCTTTGAATTCAACTTGTGGCGGGAGGTGCAGAGTGAACTTCGGATGCGAATGGAGAGATGTGGATTTGACTTATGGACAATTCAAGATTTTACTTACTGTAATGTGAGTAAGACAATAATTAATAAACCATCCCCCAAATCACCACAAATAGGTTGTATAATCCATTCCCAATTGGGGATTTCCATAGTCATGGGGGGTATCCCCAAAATATATGGATGGTTTATTTCATGGAAAATCCCAAAATAAAATTGATGATTTGGGGACCCCATTTTAAGAACCCCCCCAATTCAAGATTTTACTTATGACAAACTTGTGGACATTCTAAGGAAATTATTGATTGAAATCTGGGCAAAGTACAGCGACGTTGCTGACCTCACTACAGGTGATGGGCTTACAAGGTTACAATAGGGCCTGAATGGTTGTCTTTAAGGACATGGCAGTCACCGTCGACGATGAGGGGCCTTCCAAGCAGTGTTGCCGAACTCGTGCCATATGCGCTAAAACAGCGTTTGTAATCTTAGTTGGGCCAGGCTGTGGCCATGCAAAACGTTGAGACCATATGTTGGTAGGCTCAGGAATTCGGCCTTGTGAAAAGAAGTCACATTCCCAACAAAGGTGGTGCCATGTTGGAACAGATTTTCCTTTGCACCATCGGCACAAAGATCCTATTCTGTTGCTCCCTGCTCCTGCATGGGTATTTCTCTCTGTGGATCGACAGCATCGGCATCAACTCCACTTTCTCACTCCTTGCATGCTCGAGATGCTGCAGCAAAAGTAAGTGGATGCCCTTTTTTTCCACACAACTTGAGCTGGTTTGTTGTTTGCTTCTAGGGCAATTTACACTTATGGAGACTTATGGAGGTTTCGTAAATTGCGGGGTACCCCCCATATCAGCCAAGTCAGTAGACAATTTTAGTATTGAAACCTATGGTTCTGGGGGTGCCCAATGTTAGGCAACCTCGATATGAATCATGATCCCTTTGGGTAGTGGGTGAGTACTTGGAGAAGCACTCCCTATGGATCCAAACACTGTTTGAGAAGGTACTTAACCCCCTAAATCATACCCCAAGTACTTCCTAAGAAGGTACTTGGATCCATAGGGACTGTAAAGTTCATCATGAGAACTTCACTGCTTCGCACGCAGGTTTCCTCACACTTGGCAGACTTTGAAGGTAGCGGCTAGGGCCGGGGGATGGTTGCAGGATATTTTGAAGGTCTTGAAGGTCCCATCCGTTGCTGAATACCGAGGTCCCCGTAATGAATGGCAAATAGGTACCCTCTGGTAAACTAACATAGCTATTGGAAATGGCCATTTATAGTGGAATTACCCATTGAAAATGGTGGATCTTTCCATAGTTTTTTGTATGTTTACCAAAGGGTAAGTGCATGTACATGCAAGGTGAGGCCCCGCAAACGATTGCCAAGTTGGTGTATAAACGTAACTCCAATAACTCGGGTTTATGGCTGTGGTAACTATAGGTCATGGGCTAATAAACCAACAAACATAACTGGGGCGGCTCATCAAGTACATTGAACCAGCCAGGCCACATCTTTGTCCCTCATTTCAGGACATGAACGGACCAACCACTAAGTCCAGTAATGAAGCCGTATTATGTCTATCTGAAAATATGGTCCCCCCAACCCTCATGGTTTACCGTTATTGTCCGCATGACAGTTGCCATGTTGAGATGTTGATGGTGATTTGCAGTATTTCTCATGGTTTTGAGGATCATATATATGCATATTTTAATAAAATATGTATTATAATATAATATATGTATAATATATAATATTATATTTATATACATGATGCGGACAAAATAAGCGCAGACTACTTTAGTAAGGGAGGGTCCCGTTGTGTTGAGAAAGTGCACCAGACCAAGTAAAGTGATAGGGCCCCTCAAAAACGAGATAACTTTAACCATATGAGAATGCATTAATTTTGGTGTAAAGCATGCAAATAGTGTTGTGTGCCTTCACGCGATGTGCAAAATTGGTGAATAAAATTCAACCTGCAGTGCCAGTGCCCACGTTTCTTGCAGTTGCCATACCATTTGTTGTCCAAGGTGATTGAACCGTTGCTTTCTGCAGGCAGTTGTTTTTCTTCTCCCAGGTCCCAAAGCAGTAGAAGTAAACTCAACTAAATGCAACCGAATTCTGAATTAAAATAAAACATAGTTTGAAATCTGATTCTGAATTCAGTTTATGTCCTTTACTTTAATTTGAATTTTGCATTCCTTTGTTTCCTTTTCTTTGTTTTTCCTTCCATTTTCCTTTTATTTCCTTTGGAATTCTGAAGTAAATCCAATTTGATTTTGAACCCAATTCAGCATTTCATCTATTTTATTGTATGTTCCTTTTGTTAGATTTGTCCTTTCTTCTTCCTTCGTTTCCTTTTCTCGTTCTTTCTTTCCGTTTTCCTTTAATTGCTTTAATTGTCCTTTTTGTTCCGCGTTCCTTTTTATTTTCCTTTCTTGATCATCAAGGTGTTCTAATTTAGCGATAACCTTAGCGATAACCTTTTGTTGAAAAAGGAACCCCGGACGAGGGATAGACTCATTTGATCCCAACAAGAAGAACTCAACAAAAAAGCGAACAGGTTCTCAAACCTAGGCCAACAGTTGTTTTGAGACTTGGGAAGCCTTAAGCACTTCTTCATAGCTACGAACGCTTCTTTATTGGAACTATGAGGTCCCATCTTCAATTTCTAGAGCTTTTGAGCGGGGAAGTGTGGCGTTTTCTGACGCCATGGCTTATCAAAGAGGGACAATTGCGATTGCGAGGTGACCCTTTTTCGTTTTCATACAATTAGTGATCTTATAATCGTTGGGAACCATTGAAAGAGTCTAGAGATTTGCTTAGATAGCTCCCCAACATGGTTGCAAACGCAAAGACAACGAGCGCCCCTTAATCCATTCCCATCAGTTTAGAGATCTGAATCCGTGAAGCCAGTTCCGCTGCATTTTTTGCATTATTTAGTGTTGATTTGAACAAAACACTGTAAAGCGATAGGGTCCCCAAAAAGCAACCTACCCTCTGGTAAACTAACATAACTATGGAAAATCACCATTTTGTTAAAGGGTAAATCCACTATTTCTATGGCCATTTTCAATAGCTTTTTGTATGTTTACCAGGCCGGGTATATTTTCGTACCAAACTTCGTTGATTTCGACGCCGGCAGACGTCGTGGCCCGTGAGTGCGCCTCCGAACATCAGTTCCATGGTGTTTGTGCAGGAGCCATGGCAGCCATGACAGCCATGGGATCCCCTGTTTAGATCATGTCTAGGTCAATCGGAACCGGAAAACCATGGTTTTTACCATGAAATATAGGGGTTTCCCTGGTATTTTTTTTACCATGAAATGGGTTATGTACCCTGGATCTATAAATGGGTTAATGATAGTTGATCATATCTATAAATTGGTTAATGATGGGTTGATCATATCCCTGTTTAGATACCCTGGATCTATAAATGGGTTAATGATTGTTGATCATATGGGAAATAAACGGAAATAATCTATTGATCCTGTTTTTGTTTAGGTCAATCTTAGATGGCTAATTAATGGTGATTAATGATGATAAATGGTAACTAATGATTATTAGTGGTGATAAATGGGAAAGGATCTGGAAATCTAGTAGATCATCAGAAAATGGGATATGAATGGGATATTAATTCATGATACATGAGATCCAATGTTGTGGAATATGACATATGATATATGATATATATATATACATATCTGGGTAAATTATAACGACCTCACCGCGACCTCACTGGAATCATGGTTAATAAGGGGAATCATCCCCAAATGGCCTTAATTCAGGTTAGTGAAATATTATAATTTACCCAGATATATGATATAAGATACTATTTAATGATCATGTCATCTAGGTCTATCTTGGATGGGTAGTTTAATCCTAACTACTCTTTTGGTATAGGATTATCTACTAACCAGCAAAAAAAAATGTAGGGTATCTACGGAAGATTGGCAATGTCATGTCACCCATTTATGGATTGTTTAATATATTAATGGACGTTTGCTAAAATGGTGTCTATAAATGGATTAAAATAAGGGTACCCCCATTTTAGGAAACCACCAAATTGATGCGTTTACAAACATGGTTTCTGAATATTTGTTGTTGCACCGGTAACTGGCATTGAACACATGTCATCAGGCCTGATTTCCAGAAATAGTGGACTTCCAAATCACCAATGGCAAGGGAGGAAAACCATGCTGGTTGAGGCATTCTTACAGTTTTGAACGTAGCAAATCTGCATATATTTTTCAAACTTGGTCGAACGTAATATTGGCTACACCCCCCCCCTCCATTTATGGTGGAAATTCAAGGTGCCGGTATATATTGCATATACATGCTGGTCGTGGGTGGGGGGCGCTGACCATATATATATATATATATTATATTATATTATGTAAGGTTGCGGGTCGTGGGGGGGGCGCTGACCATATATATATAATATATATATATATATAATATATACTTCAGGAGGAACAAAGTTTATGCTTCTTGAAAGCTTTACAAAACATCCATTTCGGTCAACCGCGGATCACATTTTCAAGTCCGTTTTGTGTGGCAGGTGTGGGACGGTCAATTATCACCCTCTTTTAAATATATAAGATTTTAAAGCTTTTGGAGGGTGGGAATGCGACCGGGGTACGACAAAGCTCCATGCTAGGATTCTACGGGGAAAGGGTGTGCAGAAGAAGAAACCAACCATGTTCACTGTGGGAAGCTCAACAAGCGCAACTTTTGTCCTACCAGTGCGTCACGGCACATGTGTAGCAGTGCAGACAAAGAGGATGGAGACAGGCATGTTATGTGGAGTATGACCAAGCTGAAGCAGGTGCAAAAATCAGCAAATGACTTGGCAATCCCCACTCAATAAGCTTTTTGTACCCTGCGTCACGGCACATGTGTAGCAGTGCAGACAAAGAGGATGGAGACAGGCATGTTATGTGGAGTATGACCAAGCTGAAGCAGGTGCAAAAATCAGCAAATGACTTGGCAATCCCCACTCAATAAGCTTTTTGTACCCTTCAGGAGGAACAAAGTTTATGCTTCTTGAAAGCTTTACAAAACATCCATTTCGGTCAACCGCGGATCACATTTTCAAGTCCGTTTTGTGTGGCAGGTGTGGGACGGTCAATTATCACCCTCTTTTAAATATATAAGATTTTAAAGCTTTTGGAGGGTGGGAAATGCGACCGGGGTACGACAAAGCTCCATGCTAGGATTCTACGGGGAAAGGGTGTGCAGAAGAAGAAACCAACCATGTTCACTGTGGGAAGCTCAACAAGCGCAACTTTTGTCCTACCAGTGCGTCACGGCACATGTGTAGCAGTGCAGACAAAGAGGATGGAGACAGACATGTTATGTGGAGTAATGACCAAGCTGAAGCAGGTGCAAAAATCAGCAAATGACTTGGCAATCCCCACTCAATAAGCTTTTTGTACCCTGCGTCACGGCACATGTGTAGCAGTGCAGACAAAGAGGATGGAGACAGGCATGTTATGTGGAGTAATGACCAAGCTGA